TGTCGAACTGGTCGATACGTTCTTCTGTACCATTGTATCAAACTGAAGACTAGTGCAAAACAAAGCTGAAAATTACGCCACCAAAAATTTCTGATTCAAATCGTATTTGTATGACTGAATGATCATTGACTTAAGTGTTACAAATCTTTTGGCGAAACAATTATTGGTCACCTTTTTAGGGTGTAATGATGTACTTCAACTGTAGCTAAATTAGATAGGCATCGTAAAACTTTCCCGAAATCGGTAGTAACACAGTGGCTGAATGACGTGGAAAACACATGTGAATAGTCGAAAACTTAAAATAATATCTTAAAATAGCATATTTTAAGGTGTGGATTCATATTTACGTTTCAAACTTCTTGAATGAGAAAATTATCGAAATATATCATCCGATTAATTGAGTATCAAATTTAATATCAAGATGGGAGGTTCAGCGTTTTAGTTTGACTTATGTATCAATATCTTCAGTTAATGTCGATAATAAGGATCTAAGTTTTTGTAATTCACAGGATTAAGAAATATAAGGTACTTGATTAGTATTTGGGACGAGTTTGATTCTTCTCATAATAACGAGCATCGAAACATGTCGGAGATATTTTTTATCCCTAAAACATGCGCTGGAAGAATGTGACAACACAAACCTTACCATATGTAGCAGTCTGGAACGATTCAACAGTGTTTTTCAACTCCTTTTGTCCAGATGGTATTCTAAGTGAATTGCATCAACCATCTCAGAGAGCCCGATTGAAGTTATATGAAAATACTGATTTTATCTTGGGGGGAAAAAATATCCTCCTCTCCTTGTGAAATAATGAACCATTGCAAAAACTCCGAACGTTAACTCCGGGTGCTCCCACTTGAATAAGAAATCTTATAGAAATCGAATATTGTTTGGATACGTAACTGTGCTGTTGTCAGAGCTCATGTACAAACATTAATACTGTTGCGTTTTTCTTTTCTTCTGGCACCAGTTGTTACGTCATTTTCTTCCTTCACGTTCGTACGGGGTTCGTAGATTTGGAGTGAATAACGACGACACTTGAGGAAGTATCGAAACACACTTTATTTAGCCAATATTAATCAGAAGCTCCCGAAATCACGTTACAGTCGTCGAAGAACTACTATAAAGACGCTGGAACAATCAGCGACACAGCCTTCAGGTTATCAGGCTATCACGGTGGAGACAGCTTCACGTCAAAGAACCAGAGTACAGCTCCCGACTCTGCTCGGTCGTTCTCGGAACTCCACATACTCTCGAGACTCTCCACGCTACAACTCGCGATGCACTTGACGACACACAGAGCACGGCCCCCGACTCATCGTTCCCGGATCTCAACACGCTCTCTCGACGGTGCACTAACCGCGATACACTACGAGACTCTTTCAGTGCACTCGACGACCCACTCGGCACTCGCTGCCCGGATGTCAACGCGATCGACTGTGCAAGGATTGACTCGCTAGACGAGACACCAACTCGGTACTAACTATCTCGCACTCGACGAGGCACACTCACGCTGACTGCGAACAAGCAGGGTTTATATAGCTTTCGGCTTGTGTTCGAGAGCATTCTGGACTAAACCGGTAAGAATTCGTTCCAGAAGGTTCTCCATTCGTCCATGAGGCCCACCAGCGGCCGAGCGGTAAAGTCGCAGAACACTGGTAGTTCGGTCCGAGGTTCGAATCCCACGAACGGGCTGGCTGCATGGGTGTTTTCATGGTTTTCCCCATGTGTAACGTGTATACAAGCCAGTTTCCCTTAGAAAGTCCTCCACGCCCCTTAGGCAGATAGCCCTGCTTTGCCGTAATTAAATACACCACCACCATTCGTCCATGGCATGTCGCCAAATGGGCGATTTCGCGCCAAATATGGCAACCCTACCTCCCTTTGCCATTTTATGGCAACTCTAAGCCTGCTTTGCGGGGAAGCTATCTCACCGTGCCTGTACATTTCGTAACAATACTATTAAGACTGTGTTAACTATTAATTGAAATAAAAAATTGCCACGGTAATAATTAATTCAAATAAGCTGTGTCGTACACCATTTTGATTAAACTCTGGAAAATTAACTCTCCGTCATGGGCTAGCGTAAAATAAGTGAGCATTATATTTGCGAATAAAGCAGTCAACTAATTATTTCCTTTCGAAACAAGAATTTTTCGCCGTCTTGCCACCGAGACTCAAAACTAATTTAACTTCACCTGCGGGTATTTTCTCTCTGTGTCACTAGTTCAAGACGATTTGCATAATTAAAAAGTAATTTCAGCTTGAATATGTATCAGAATCCCGCTCCGATGTTAAATTTTTATCCTGAGTAGTTAATGTAAAGAGATGTTCATTAAAAGCATCTTTGCTTTCTCTCGTTACCATTTACAATATCTATTTAATTATTATAATTTGCTTTCAGACATAAATTTTCCTCGTTTCAGTTAACCTTGAAACAAAATTAAGCGTTATGTACCATTTTAGGAAAGCAAGTTTGGATATGTAATTGCACATTTTAATTTTGATTTCCGAAATTTTAAAGTCAGATTAACTCTTTTTGAGCTACTACATTTAAATGAACTCGTAATGAGAAATTTTGTATTCACATATAGTGCTTGTTAGAATTTAATTAAGAACGCAGCTAAAATGTACATTGAGTTAAGACAGAAGTTTGTTGTTCCATCTAATTAAGATTGCCCTTAAGGAAGCAAGAAGATGAGATCTGGTAATTTTAAACTGTATACATGAATAAATTGTTGTTTCGGGAAAATAAAATTACCGTGTTATTGTGTTACGTTGCTCTGACTATCATGTAACATGACATCTGGTTATATAAGAGTAGTTAATTTGCGTGTAAAGAAACCAAATGCCTGACAACCACGGGTAGCACTTAAATAGTCAGCATAAAGTATGTAGTTGCGGGGGGGGGAGAAGGACTTAGAGGCTTTGTGTTCTAAACTGGATGGCTATTTCAAATGCAAAATTCGTAAAACTAATGAAATGAATCTGAATACTAAGAGTTGAAAGGATTTTAATTAAAAATAAATAAAAATTCTTCACCTTTTTATACAGTTCCGTGTAAAGCAAAAATTTCAGCCAATAAATTATTCTTTACGTTTTAAAAAATTGAAAACAATGTTACTATCATGTTAAATTCAAAATATGAAATTAAATTTAAAAAGCAGCTGCGAAATAATTATTGCTGCTGTAGAGATTAATGATTTCGCACATAAAAAAACAATAGACGAAACTAAATCTATATACAGACATTTTGCAATTACAGTAAGACCCCGCTTAACGCGGCGGATACGTTCCATCAAAGTAGAGCGTAATGCGAAACAGCGCTAAACGAGGCTATCTTTACATGTAAATATTGGGGTTAGGGGAAGATGGCTAGGAAATTGGTTATGTATTAAATTTAAAAAGTATTTTTTTTAATAAAATAAAACCAAATTTATTTCTTAAAGCCCAATTAATACCAAATTATTATTTCTTGCAAAAATAAAAACAAAATATAAATAACAAAACGAATATTCTTAAAAAAAAACAAATAAAATTCTCAGTCAGTCATATTTAGTTAGCATTCCACGTTTTCAGTGTTCTGCCTTTTTGTGACAAAAGCATCTAATGTTGTTTGCCTTTTTCTTTTGCGTTGTTCTCTTAAAGTTCTTCATAAACGGATAGAGCATCTCTAACACCACGCCTTACTTTTGAGCTCCTGTCAAAATTCGGATCATTTTCAATGAATTGATCCATTATTTCAGTTATGTAGACAAACTCCTTTTTTACAAACGCCATCGAAAGTTCTTTTTGCTCTTCTTCTGAATCCTGCTGTCAACATTTTTTGTTTTCTTCTTGTTCAGTTAATTCCTTGAGCTCATCATTAGAAAGACTAGCCGCTGCTTCTTGAATTGAATATTTCCAATAATAAAAATATGTCTGTACAATATCGCACCAAACAAGAAATACAAGTACACTCTTTCGGATATGTATTTGAAACCTATCGCTGCATAATATTTCGGGGAATCCCCGTATGCTGCGAGCGATTTCGTGGAATCCCCGGGTTGAAATAAAAGAGCGCTAAACCGAAACAGCGTTAAGCGGGGTCTTACTGTATTTGCTAAACATGTCTCTTTGAATTATGGCACATATAGGTATGAGAATTTTTGGTTTTAAACTCATCAAAGTGAACTAAGTATTTTATTAATTGGAATTATTTAAGTATGGGAAACATGAAAAGTTTAAATTTATAATGTACTGAACGCTTCCATCCCCCATTGTTGAAAGATCTGTACCTTATTTTGGATAACTTCGTCTAAAGTCATTATTTAAGGAAATAAAACTTGTTCCGAGCATTTTATGTACTTCTTTTTAAATAGATCGGTTTAAATGTTTTAAGCTATTTCATTTATAAATACATTTACATTAGAACCATGTCGTCGACTTAGTAATGCTGGGATACCTTCGTAAAGGTATCCCGCCATAAAGTGCCAGCACTTCTGTACAAGATGCCGCTGTTCGAAAAGACCATAAAGGTGCCTAACCTTTAAGAGGATTAATTTCTAACTTGTAAAAAGCAACCTTTGTGAAAGTGCCAGCACCTTTATGCCGGGGCAATGCTAGTCAATTGGAAATTTCATTTGATTTTCTAATCAGAGCAGAGACTAGAGTCTTTGTTTGAATAGCGGTGTCCCGGTATAAAAGTACTAGCACATTTATTGAAGTTGCTTTTTACGTCTTAGAAATTGATCATCATAAGGTGTGGTTCCTGGCTTCTGTTTTTGAACTGCGGCCGGTTTTTGTAAAGGTACCGGGACTTTTTTTTTTTACAAGACGCATGAAGCGTCCACGCGCAGTGCTTCTTTATCTTTCCTGCTCATACTTCACGTTTAGGTTTGTCACGCGTTGTTTTTGCCGTTTCCTATAGAAACACATAAAGCACTTTTACAGATCCTTTTGCCGACCCACAAATTAATCTTCTCTTCTTTTTTTTTTTTTTTTTTTTTTTCCTTCATAGGTACACGAACACGATCGCTGGCGTCGGCGTTGCAGCGCAGAGATACAATCCCGAGATGAAATCCCCCGACTCGGACGACCTCGTCGTGATGGCGCTGGACGAGAAGCTGCAGAGGATGAGCAGGGTGAGCTGCTTGCTTCTATTTTCTTCTGTGTTTTCTTTTCGATTCCTTTTCACGTGATTGCTTTTATTATGACCTTGCATTAAGTCGGAGAGGAACCGGGGAATGAAGTTCTGCTCATTGGATGACATAAAAAGTCATTTTCTCTTCTTTCCCATAGGCGACTAAAGTATGAAATTCGTGATTCACTATTGGAAAATAATTTATTGAAGAGGATTGTTATCAATAAATGCACATGTGAAAGGCCGTTTATATACTGTACTCTGCATCAAATATTAATGGCCCAGTAACTTAGTAAGATCGAATGTCCTTTAAGAACCGAAAATTCCTATTAGAGATTAATATTCCTGATTAGCCTTGTAGAAAGACATTTACAGTTCAACTGGCCAGGAATTTGTTGAATTACATTGCAGTCGATTGGTGTATTTTCTACCGGCAACCGTGTAGGCTAAATATTGTAGTAGACAGGTTCTACTTTTTTTTTATTGTGAAGCGCTGCGGCTGATCACTTGAAAATAAGAAAATTCATGTTCAGTCCTCTCACAGCTTGCAATCTAAAGACCGACGCTGCACAATCGAACCTTTAAGAGATGCGAGACAACATGATTTGACATTGCAAAAGCAATAACTTTACTAGTCATATCTCTACTTGATACAGTAGAGCCTCGCTGAAGGGCCGTAATTTGTTCCCGAATCTTACTTGTAATACGAAACATTCGTTAAGCAAAATAATTTTTTTTCCAGAGGAATCAATGTTAAAATAGGATAATGCGTTCCATTCCGACAAAAATACTCAAACAAATTTATAATAAAGTAATTTACTGTTTATGAAACATCCTTTTTCACGAGAAAGTTGTCTAAAGACATTTGTTTCGCCAACGCTTCAAAATTTGGCAAAAATAAGACACAGCATTATCGTTAAATGAATTTGTAGCGCGCATAGTTGTTGCCTTATCAGAATGATGCTTCTCAATGTACGATGCGCCAGTTTCGTATGATTTCAGCATGACCTTTATTTCACTATAAAGCTGTTGCTTTTTCTGAGGCTGTTATCTCCTTCTTCCCTGGAGAAAGCTCCTCCACAACATAATGTTGTGACACAGAATATAGCTCCATAAGCTCCTCGTGGTCATCTCCTGGCGTTGCTCTTCCACTAGTTCTTTGGTGTCGTTGCTCTCCACCTCTAGTCCCATAACCTTGGGCGGAGACATAATCTTGTCGATTGCAGGCTCCACAGGCACTATCTCTGAAACACCTCGAAGTCGCGTTGACCGTAACAAACAAGGCATGGAGCAGCAAACTATTCTCAAGCAGATATCTTTGGCAGATGGAGCAAATAATTCATTGATCGAATCTGTAAAAAGGTAACGTGTCACCCAAGCCTTTGTGTTAAATCTCCACATCACATTTAGTCTGCTCATCTGGACTTCTTGAATGCTCGTGGATTGCCCAAATGGATAAACGGACAGCGCTGTAATTTTCAAGTAGCCACTGTCATTTTCAAGAAACGATAGCGTGAGGACGGTCTTTCATTGGTTTCTGGCCTGGCAATGCTTTTTACTCTGCTATCCAGAAGAGATAATTAAAAACCTGCTGCGGCAGATAATCCTCAGAAATCACATACTTCTTGAATACGAGGAAGAAATTTTCGGCTGTTTTTTTATGTAAGTTTGTTGCTTCCTCGTACCTCGCAGTGTTGTGGATGACGATTTTTCTCTTAAACTTTTCGAATGACCCATGGCTTACCATGAATGTCTCTTCTTTGTCAATTGATATTCGATGCGTCTTCTTAATGAGGCCGGCAAAAATTAGTTTCTTATCCTCACAAATTATGTTTTCGTTAATAATGTCGCTTGCATTTGCTTTTCATTGATCCATACGAGAAGCAATCATCAACCTCATTGAGGATGAGTGGCCATTGCGTATAAATTCTTCTGACACTATTTGAAGCATAGATCTCCTTAATCTTATCATTTTATGTAACGATAATGCAAATCGTTGATGTGGACCGAATATATGTGCGTGCTAAGTCAACCGCTCTGATATCCCGTTCTTGCTTCTCAATGATTCGGAGTTTGACTTCTACTCTTGCCCCTGTCTTTTTGCGGTGTTATCTTTGGGGATAAACGTGTAATCACGCTTAAACTTAAGTGCCAAAAAATCTTAAGCAACAGAGCACAACGATCGCTATATAAGGTATTTCTCCCGCCTTTCGTGGTGTAGGGTTCTGCACGCTGGGCCGGTATTTCAGAGGTCCATGGTTCGATTCCCGGCGAAGGCGTTTGTTAATTTTTTCATCTTTCCTGCTTCCAAAAAATACCTTATGTCTGTACAACTAAGCGTTGACTGATAGCGGAGATGCAAGCAGGATCCTGCATGGAACGTCACGATGTCTCCACGTAATACATTCTGCGAAATATCTTTCTTTAAGGATGTTTTACATTTTGTCTTGCTCATTTTGCATTTTTACATTTGTTGTGTGAATCACTAGTTATGGGAGGTGCTCGTTAAGTAAGGTGTGACTGTACTACAAAAGTCTTAATTCAACATCCTACATCAGACAATTTGGGAAATGTGCACTGTGTCTGTAATTAAAGCCTCTTGATTTCAACAGGGTTGCTCTGCGAGTGATTCTGCAGCTCCTTTGTAATCTTCAACCGCCATGAATCAGAGGACTAATACATCAGAATTACTAAAAGGGCGTGGCTAATTCAATGTGCAGAATATACCTGGTAGAATAAGTAAATAGAGAACGCTCTGAGCCTCTGCTAGAGAGAACTGTCGGAACACTTGATGCTATCAAGAACTGTTTTCTCACAATGAAGACAACTGTCTTCATCGAGCAAGGACCTGGATTTACTTTTGAAATTCCGCTACCAAACTCATTATATCTAATGCGTGTAATACCTGATTATTAATTTGTTGTTGATATTATTTGTGATATTACTGATTATTAAACTTTTCGTGTACAATTAATAATTCTTTTAAGAGTTTAATATTGGAATTGTTCATGAACTAGAACATGCAAAGCCCAACCTCTTTTAAGAAAATAATTATTATACTTCAGATCTATGTTATTTGTGCTTATATTATTCTTGAATTTTGTTTCCTCAGTTGCCTTGACCATTTTAGTTAAACGAATTGCTTAGAAGATTAAATTAAAAGCATATGTTGTGTTAACAGAATAATTAAAATTTAACTGCATTCCAAATAATATATCATTTTTCTCAATAATAATAAGCAAGTAATTTAGTTTCTTGTCTGTAAAAGCTAAATACTTTATCAAGTGGGAAGAAAGATGTTTTATTATTATCTCTATATTATTTCTAGTATTCTTTATAAAGAAAGGTTAGACATAGTAAAGAGAAGAAATTGTTAAAATATTAACTTAAAACATTTACTGTGCTTTTCCTGTGAATAACTCTAATTTTGCTGGGGAAATTGTATGCATGTTTATCCTTCCTTTATAGCTACTTCAGATTTAATATAATTTTATATCCTACGTTATTATCGTACTCTTTATTTATAGTTTAGACCTAAAGTTTTATTATTGCTTTAGTTTCAAAATGCAGAATACAAATTTGGCCAAACCTTGAGCAAGTAAAGTAAGTTAACTCATTAAGTTTTAGAGTTGTATGGTAAAACTCTATTTTTATTGTTTTTTAATTGCGTAAGAAAATTATTTAGCAATTAATTTTGACTCATTTTCGTCCTGTGAAATGTATAGTATCAGTCGTATTTTGTTTTCATATCAACTTAAGACTCAAGTTGAAAACATTCTCTTGTCAATCGTGAAGCTTACAAACTGCAGTTAAAGTTAATATTCGTAATGTGGATCTGATAAAGGACGTGGATATTCAAGAGCTATATTGAAAAAATGCTTTCATATATATATATATATATATATGTAATATAACATAATATACACTCATGTCCATAAATTAAGGATAATTCGGAGTCACGCCTGGAGTAGAGAGCATGCATTGTGGGCAGTGGGCCACAACAGTGGGCTTGTGTGATGTTTTCCGACGAGTCCAGGTTTAGCTTGCAGTCTGATTCTCGCCGGGCATTCATATGGAGAGCTCCAGGTACCCGTTACCACCAAGAAAACATCATTGAACGACACCGTTACGGTGGTGCAGGAGTGCTCGTTTGGGTGGAATTATTCTGGGTTCCAGAACTGACCTGCATGTTCCAATTGGAACCATGACAAGCCAAATCTATCGGGACGTCATTCTGGAACAACATGTACGTTTGTTTCGGGGCGCCATGGGCGCACAATTTGTGTTTATGGATGACAACGCCCGTCCTCACCGTGCAAACATCGTAAGCGAATGCCTTCAATCGGAGGATATCACCCGTATGGACTGGCCAGCATTCTCACCGGACTTGAATCCAGTACAGCACGTGTGGGATATGCTTGGCCGACGAGTTGCAGCCCGTCAACCTCCTCCTACATGTCTACCGGAACTTCGGAGAGCATTGCTTTTTGAGTGGTGTAATATCCCCCAAGATCAGATCGATAATTTGATACTCAGCATGCCTAGGCGTTGTACGGACTGTATTGCATCGTCTGGGAGACATACAATGTATTAACAATCAACCAACCATGTAATATTGGTTTTTTGTAAATAGGTTTTTTTTTTTTTTTTTTTTTTTTTTTTTTTTTTTAATTTGCTCCAGGGAGAAAAAATCGCTAATTTTTTTAATAATATCAAACATATAGCATCGTTTTTTGCTCTTTACCTTTTGTTTAATAAATAAGCTTTACAAATAAGTCAAATTTGTTTTGCTTCTAACTCTTCCTTTGCCTGATTTTGCATTATCCTTAATTTATGGACATGAGTGTATATATACGTTAGCGTGAAAGACCGAAATCTGGCGAAATCATTTTGGTGAATGTTAACATTCGCATAATTGCTTAGTATATATTCGAAATATTTGTTAAGTATCCTTATTTCTCACTTAACACTGGCAAATGTCGACATTAGCCATGCGCTGATGATTCAATGTTGAATAAAAATATTTTTATTACGTTTTTAAATCATACTTTATTATTAAAACTATGTCAAAATCGGAGAAAGCTTAAGCAACAGCACGTGTAAATAAACTGTTAAACTTAAAACAACGGTACCTTCTAAATGAAAAAAAGAAAATAACAGCAGTAATAAACTTACTTAATTATCGCAACAACTTAAAATGTCATGACACTTTGAATTGCACAAGAGTCCCTTGCTTTTACAACGCCTCTCTGTCTGTCTTCTTGGCTTCTCGTTTTGACCTCCTCCAGAACCATGTGTGTGCTTGTCGACATACTTTGATGTTGGTCGGAGTGTATAAGAATATAACCAAATATTCGGCCTTTCACCAGCGTATTTGGTATGTGTTGACATTCACCGGGGAATGTCGACATTCTCCAAATTCGGTCTTTCACGTAAACATAAGTATTTGAATTTTACATTAATGTAAGAAAAAAAAAAATGTTTTACAGGAATTGAGGCTGATCATTACTCCTGAACTTCCCCAGTCTGATTCTCACATGGTGGAAGGAAGTGGTAGCGGTAGCTGGATGCGGAATCAAGTTGGAGATGATGAAGACTACGACAGAGGATCCGGTAGCGGAGATGGAGGAGGTAATGAAATGTTACTGCTTATAAATATTTACTGCGATTAAGATTATTGAGTAGATGCGAACCAAGGTATAAAAGCCTATTTTACTACGAAGAAGTAATTCGTGTACTGAGTAAATTTCTTTTCCCCTAGAAGCTTAGTTATTCAGCAAGTATGTTTCGTTTTCTTTCTTCAGACCTGTTGTTCGTTAGAGTAACAACCACGGTGGTCCTTCGTTTGACTGTAACTTCAGTAATCCATCTGAGGTCTTATTCTCATAACTGGCGCTAAGTAAAAGTTGTATGGGCCGAGGTAATGTCATTGGAGTCGTGTAGCTTTGACTGGATAACTAATGGAAGTGCGATTTTAGGGAATGTTATCAACAGATAATCCACTAGTTATGGAAACCATGGAGGTAAAAAAGGAAGGAGTGGCCAACTGGCACTAGAAGTGAAGCACTGCTTCGAAGCTTCGATCACAAGATGGGGTGTTTTTTGTTTACATTCAGAACTCGCTGGACAGTGTTCTGATAGTATTTCGACACACGACAGTTCGATACAAATCGAAAAAGGGACACTTTCGCATGAAAGAAACATTCATAGTGTGATGGATAATAGCAATTACTTATAGTTTAGTGACATTTACGCAAAAATCACATCTTGGTTATTTTTCGATAACTAACAGCGATTTTGATTATGAATTTGTTTTATAAAATTCTAAGCTGTTGAACTACAAAAATATAGATTTTAACAAAAATGTTATGGTTAAAGAATGAAAAATACATTACGGTATCAGGTTCAGTGTTCCTCCTTACTTGCTTTGGGAACATTAAATGACCTGACTCGGAACAGGGAGCTTACTAAAGCTATGTTCAATAAATGTGGGAAGTAGACAAGATATACAGGAAGGGTATACGAAACCCTTTATTTTTCTCTCTTTACAATGATTTTAGGACTTCGGAATACAGAGATCAACCACTTGTGGTCTGAACGTAAGAATATAAAAATATTAACTAAATTCTAACTAAACTAACTTTGGATTAATAAACAAAGTGTCTACTTGAAGATTGGCCGTATATTAACAGAAATGCCGTATGTAGTACAGAGAACCGTTAACACTACGATACGTTTAAAATTATCAAGAGGATTAAACCTCTGGCCTTGTAGGCAACCAGCAACCGAGTAAAAACTGCTATGGCAAGCGGCCTGCTCCTAATCACTCCTTCCTCTCTCTTGCTTGGCAAAAAGCCACAACTTAAGCACTTGGCGTTCGCAAGACAAATTTGCATAAATAAGTTAAAGCTTTTAATTCTGGAAGTAGAAAATAAGAAGTGATAGTAAAGATTTAAAATAAAATAAACGTTAGTAAAACTTAAGATCCTTACAACGGTACCTTTAAAATTGTATACGTTTTTCGATACCCTTGATAGAGTATTCGCTACTTTTATTTTATGTTCCAAACGCCGAAATGTTTTAAATAAAATACATTTTTTTCACATCCTTATATTATTGTAGCATGTATCTTTTAAAATTTTTTAGAGGAGAGGCTTTACTGTTGGTCATTTTAAACTTATCGTTTTAATTTTATATATCTGAAATATAATCACATTCGGTTTTCACGTTTTACTTATTTGGGTTAATTAAAAATAAAATCCTTATTTTATTCCCTTTCAGAAATGTTCAGGGAAAGTTAAGTACTATTTAAAGTATTTCGCTAATTTCTAATAATTCTCTAATTTAAAATGAACCGAATAAAGCATTAATTATAAATTGACTTATATTTTTCGATTTAAAAGATGCCTCAGAAGCCAAAAATCATGTCATTATTTAAGAAGGTATTTTAGGAAGAAGCTCTATAAATAGAAAAGAAATAATGCATAATTTTAATATTAAGAATATAATAAACTTTGATCTTAATTTTTGTACCTTAACCGAATCAAATCGAATTACCTTAAATTTTTTTTTCTAATGTAATTAACGAAAACTTGCGAAAATACTTCATTCAAATTAGACCATTCTGAGAAATCTGTCCTGTGAAAAGTATAGGATTTAATTCCGTTCAGGATGAAATGTTGTTTAAAAATATGTTATTTTCATATACTTACGACTCTGAAGTGTTGTAGATAAAGAAAATATATACATTTATATGTATATTTACGACTTAATTACAAAATATTTACATCCGATCGCGTCAAAACCCATTGAACTTAATGGTAAATGACCCAATGCTTTGGTCACCACGTAGGGATGGCCGGTGCTTCAGAGCAGGGTACGGAAGAAACCTGTTTACGACCACTCCATCTTACTTCCTACCTCCATGATGGAAACAGACCAAGATTATACTGAAAATTGTTGAATAATTTAAGCTTTCAAAAGGGGGGGGAGGGTTTAGGGATATTGCTCTACACACTTATATCTGCGGAAAAAAGGAAATTAAACAGTCTTATGTACTGGGTAGTAATAAGCTGCAGGAAATCGTTATATCCGTGCTGATTATAACCATTGGAACTAAATGTTTGGAATCATGCAAAAGTAAGCAGCGTATTAGGTTTTTTAAAAAAATTCTATTCATGAGATACGTTTTTCCTAATTGTACGCATATGAGCGGTTTTACCTTTAACTTTTGTGAAGTCGCATCGATGCTTTCTTTAACTTCATCAACAACTTCATAAACGTTCGGGGTATTCCAAAGAATATACCTTAAATGGCCATTCAGTCATAAGAAAAATCAGTTGGAACATTGTGTACATGATAAACAATGTAGAAAGCTGGAACTTTAAGGTAAATTATTTAATTTACCCGTAATAGCCAGTTGAAATGTGTTCAAAACACTAACATAGTGCTTCAGAAAATTCTTATTACTTACCGTCTTTTTTTCCTCCTTCCAGCATGCCTTCGTGGTGTAATGGATATCTTCTGCTTCGAAATAACCTAATGTGACTTTACAACTCTTTTTGTTTATTTCAGCAATGGTTTATGCTATCGCTCAGAAAATCTCTCTTTTTTTTCCATACATCACTTATGTGCATGCTTGTCCTTAGACTTGCTTTCAGCGGTAGTCATTATTATAAAATAAGCACTTCAAAATCATACTTACCCCCTCGTTTACAAACATTCATCAAAACGGGCTTGCAGTCTATTTTGGTACATCTTTTACGGTGTAGCTAGTTTGAAAACGAAGTCCTATTTCCAGTAATCTTATGTGGGAGAATTGATTCTATTAACTTCATTTTTTAAGCTGAACCTGAATCCGTATATCGTGTAAGATATTTTATATTGATTTCCTGTCCATGGATCTCGTGTGCAGCACAGTTTCCCCAAACTTTGATTGATAGTCCATTTCGATACTCGCAAATTTTCTAGTTAATAGTAGAGGATTCTATTTCCCATTTTCCCATAACTTGCGAAAACTACTAACTTGGAAGTTGGATCGCGTCAACTGTAAAAATCCTCTCTTTCTTTCTCCCAGATGTGTTCGCCAAAGCTTTTCATCTCCCTCCGAGGCTTGACAAGCTAGCCCGAGTTGAGGAGAAACATTCCTGCCGCGATCTGTCAGCCAGCGAAAGATTAATGCGGATACTGGATTCTTCTTTTGTTTTCTTCCCGAATTTATGTTTTCTTTTTGCTTGTTCCGCTCTTCTAAAGGGGTCAGTGTGCGCTGCAGAGAATGTATAGTTTTGGCGTCTGGGTGGAAACTGCGTTACGCCTGCGGGTTTTTGGTTGTGGGAAGTATTCTTTTATTAAAAAAAGAAGCACGCCACTTGACCGTTTTCTCTATGCAGATATGGCGGCTGGTCGGAATTTTTTTCGCATTCCGTTTCACGCCAGACAAGACGTTTGCGTCGGTGCGTCGATGTGTAAGTCACGTGGTAGCAGTACATTTTATTATATTTTTCTTGAAGCTTTGGATTTTTATCCCCTTCCCTCCCAAAAATCGAGCAGGAGCTTGAAGTTGCATTTATTGAGATATCGCCACCAGCCAAAATCAGCTTTTGTGGTTAAATACAGAATAAAAGCTCTCTGTTAAATCCTTAGCAAGTACTATTACTTAGTAACGAATGTTTCTGGAAACTAGAATATTACCTCTATTTTTACAAATAATAATACTGCGTGCGGACGGGTTCGCAATGGATTGAATACATACAGAACCGATGACAGCTTGATAAAGCTTATTTTGACAAAAGAAACGCTGTACAGTTCTTGAACTTTCTTCCACAGTAGTACTCAGTAGTTACCCCTTAATCTACTTAAACCAAATTTAATGCTTTGCATTACAGATCTGAATGCAAAGCGCATATCAAGAGCGAAGCTCGCACGGAGATCCAGCTCTTAACTAAAAACTGACAATTGATGCTTTCTCCGGGCTTATGTAGTTCCCTCCCCCGACCTTTAAGAAATCTCTAGTATCTTCATTTCTGAAAATTGCTAGAAAGTGTATACGGTTAAAGTTACATATAAGTGCTAGATACGGTTACAGTTACATATAGGGATCAACTACAGTTATATAGTATTTACCTTATTTCAAAGTGTTAAAATTTCGTATGGGTTGCTGAATTCATGTAGTAATCATTTTAGCTGTCATAAACTGTAACTATAGATAAATTGACATCGAATTATCGCTAAGCCTAAAATAACAAACTCAGCCTTGAAGAGGGTAGGAAAGACCATTTTATTAAAACTAAAGAGAAACGGAAGGCACACCTGGTGCATACAGTTCAGTCTACCACTTGGGGCGATATAATTGAAAGTAACAGTCAAATGTAAAATGTAAATACTAGTAAGCTAGTAGCCGAAGGCTATACAAAACAGTTTAACCCGAAGATGGCTCACTACCTAACGGGCGCAGATATTTAATTAGCGGCAGTTATAATACAAGGCCGAAGACTACAATACTTATCCAAGCTAGTGGCGACTTAGTATCGTGGCCTCGAGAGGCAGAACACGCTCAAACTTACAATCTAATAACCTCAGTTTAAAGGTCTGATGATTACTATTACCATATTGAAAGATCAGTTTAAATAACA